ACACCTCACGCGCCGCATGCAGTGAGAGCTACTGCCTCTTCTTTTAAGAAGACGAGGGCCCTGCAACAGCAGCAGCACCACCTGCTGCTGCTCCTGCTGCCGCTGCTGCAGCAGGAGCATTAGCTGCACATACTACAGCAGCAGCAGCAGGAGCACTAGCTGCACAGACTGCAGCAGCAGCATCTGCTGCTGTTGCAGAGACACCTCAAAGTGTCTCTAAATAAACAGTTAGAGATAAAGAGAAGATGAGGCGGAGGCAGAGAAAGGAGACAGCAGAAGAGACAGAGCAGAGACACCAGACTCTTCAAAAGGAGACAAAATAAAACAAGAGACACCGCAAGTTTAATTAAGGAGACAGCGAAATGGTTCTGTCTCCCCAACTTAAAATAAGAAAAGGAGACACCTAAGTGCTGTCTCCTAAACACTAAAACTCATGCATAACATTAAAAGGTTGTAAGAGACGTCAGGGAAAGGAGACAGCAGACTAAAGACAAAAAGAAAGGAGACAAAATAAAGGAGACAGCAGAGGCAGCAGAGACAGCAGCAGAGGAGACACCACACATTGGAGACACCAAAGACAGCAGAAAGAGACAAATAGAAGCGACAGAGGAGACAGGAGACAGAAGAGGCAACAGAGAGACCAGAGACTGAAAGGAGAGGAGACACCAGAGACAGCAGAAACAGCAGAGATAAGAGACAGCAGAGACAGAAGTGAAAGCAGAGACACTATACAGCAAAGAGCAGAGACAGCAGAGGAAGGAGACACCTGAGGCGGCAGAGACATCAGACAGGAGACAGCAAATAGAAGACACCCTTAAGAGACAGCAGAGACACCAGAGACAAACAAAAGGAGACAGCAAAGACAGCAGAGACAGCAGAGACATCAGAGACGGTAGAGACAGCAGAGACACCAGAGGTAAGAGACAGATGAAAGAGTAGACACCCCAGAAAGAGGAGACAGGAGACAGCAGAGGCAATAGGCGAACGAGAGAGGAGACAGGAGAGAGCGCTGCATGCAGCTGCAAACATCCGCAGCAATGCAGCAGCAAACATCCGCAGCAGACCCAGGAGGAGACAAACTGCAGCAGCAGCAGCAGCAG